CCCTACATGCAAACAGCGGCGTCCAAACGTTAGTGTGCTAGGCTACGAAGCCGTAAGGCACACACAAGGCGTAGAATAGCGCAATCAGATGAGGACCTAGACTGCGATCTGAATGACGAGTAAACAAGATCCAATTACTCCCGGGAGACAACTTACAGGGACGGCCTGGCTGAATGCATCCGGTAGCAATTGGTGAAGGGAAACAGACTGTTCTTGTATCAAGGATCAAACGACACAGCCGGGCCTATTAGTACACCCACGAACTGTTGAAATACAGCCCCAAGTAAGAATCCAGATACAATCAGATGACCAGAATATATCTATACACTGAAATAAGTGCAGGACTTTCTCACGCGCAAGCGCCTTGAAGTTTATTCCGTTGACTGAAAGCTACCCCGAATAAAGACAGGCATAATGACTCCGCCGCGGGGAGACTAGATCGGACAGCGAGAGTACAGCGAGAGCACGGGGTTCAGCGGACTTGTGTGTGAGACCGTTGCGAGGAGGAATCGGGGCAGTAGAGAGACAGAGAGAGCGCGAGAGTGAGAAAGAGCGCACGGGGCGCGCGCGCGCGCGAGAGAGAGAGAGAGAGGGGGGGGTTCGAAAGAGAGAGAGAGAAAGGGGGGGAGGGGAGGAGGGGGGCGAGGAAGGTGGAAAGGTAGGCTAGAGAGAAAAAGGCCAGGTCGCCCGACCTGTCAACGTCCAATTGAAAGGAATCTTTGGCGCCTTCCATTGATAAGTAAACTGGCTCTAGGGACTCTGTGGAAATTTAAAATATAATAAAATCGTGATAATAACTAGGGCGATCAAATCCAGCGGGGGAATCACGCGGCCTAGCTCGGTTGGTAAGGCTCGCAGGTGGCATTCAGGAGGTCGTAGGTTCAACCCCAATTGGCCTCATGTACCTTCCTGGGAATGCTTGGCGCCCATCACCTAGAGATAGACCACTGGGTCCCCCGATCGGCATTGAGCAGAGTCTGCTGATGTTGGTAGGGAAGGGGACCACCACCTGAGGGGAGGCACAGGGATTGGTCCTGTTGGCATGCGGCCTGATGCTACCGGCTGTCCCCTGGCCGGTATCGCCCACCTGCAGGTCGGCAGCAGCCCCCGCATGTTCTCACGTGAACACGGTTCTGGCTGCTACGGGGTTCCCTGTATGACTATAATTAGTAGTAGTAGTTGTATGAGTACATACTATAACTCAAAAAAAAAAAAAAAAAAAAAAAAAG